AGGAGAATATTGATTCAGGAAAAGACAAAACCATTAAACCATTTAAGTTAATGGTTGATAGGCAGGGTAGCCATTCATCCAACTTTGCCAGAAATAGTCCTGGTTTCTGACTGTAGTCCAGATGTAACTATTCATACTGCAGATAGTATTCTGATTGCAGTGGAAGGATAGAGCTGTCATTACTGTAACCCAGTGTCAATCTCAGCATCATTAAGGGTGGGATCATCATGTACGTGTGTACTTCTTGGTGTGTTATAACGGAAATAAACAGCACGACTTCTGAAGTTCTCTTCATAAAAATGTTCAATTTCTATCTAACCAAGTCTTCAGATCTAATTTCCATCTTACAGAAATACCAGGGTAAGAGGGAGCGATCAAGCAGATCCAGGAGGTGGAACTGGCCTGGGATCTTCAGCAAGTCAGTGTCCTGACCAAAGGAACTCTTCTAGGTTAAAAGTGACATAAGCAACATGGCAACCAGATGCATTGCATGGTTCTGAATTGGATCGTAATGTGGACAAATCAGCTGAAAATGACATCTTAGGGGCAGCTGGGGGAAATGTGAATATGGATTTGGCATTACTGTTAGTTTTGTTAAGTGTGAAAATGTTATTTTTGATACGTAGAAAACTGTAGGGTTTTTTGTTTTGAAAGATACATACTGATGTATTTAGTCGTGGAATGTTAGGATGTTCATCATTTACATTAAAAAGACAAAATTTGACAGGAAAACAAAAATGTTGACAGGAAAAGATATAAGACAGTATATGTAAAACATGTCATATACATAATGCTCAGTGTTACAATATGTAGTAACGAGTGGTCGGAATGTTAAGAGACATGAAGGGTGACTAGGGGAAATTACCAAGATGGGCATAGCGGGAGGTCCGATTTTCTCTCTGAAGAATGCTTTCTGGAGGAAGTAACATGGAAGCTGAGACCTGAAAAAGACAGTGTGGCAGGTAGGATGGCCCCTGGGGCTTGCTGTCTGCTGGTATTCAACTCTTGGGTAATCTCCCCTTGAGGGTGAGCTGGGTTGACTTACTGACCTGCTTCTAGTGAACAGGATATGGGCAGCAGTGATGAAATTTCACTGCCAACATTAAGCTACAAAAAGTCTGTGGCTTCTGTTTTGGGCATTCTCTCTCTCTCCCTCCCTCTCTGTCTCTCTCCCTCCCTGCCCCCCTTTCTCTCCATTTCTCTTTCTCTCTCCCTTAGATTGCTTATGCTAGGAGAAGCAAACTGCCACGTTGTCATCGGCCCCATGGAGAGACCCATGGGTGTGTCCTCAGCTGTTAAGAATGTGCAAGGAAGTGATACATGCCAACAACCAGATGAGAACACTTAGAAGCAGATCCTTGAACTTCAGGTGAGTCTTCTCCCTTGGCTGACAGCCTGACATTCTCCTCACATGAGAGTTCCGTAGCCGGAGGCTGCGCCTGGATTCCTGACCTGTGAAAACTGTGAAATAATAAATTTTGTTGCCTTGAGCTGTTAAATTGTGGGACAATTTGTTATACCCAGGAATAGATAACTAATACAGGTAAGAAAGAGTTACCTGGCTGGAAAAAGGGCAGAGGTAACCTACTATGATTATTTTCTGCTCTGATCCTTATGTTGATTTAGTATGATATTTACTGTTAATAGACAAATATTGTTCTAGTTCTTGGCTGAGAGCTCAATATCTTCACATGTATGGGTGCAAAAAAGCTGAAGACTATCTTGATTTTAACCATTTAGGTAAAGCGTTGGCTAGGAAAATGCCCCAGAGCAACTCAGTTAACAAATATTTATTGAGGCCTGTTAGTTGCTGCCTAGGCCATGGTGAATGGTTACTTATAAAACCTCACAGCAACTCTTCCTTTTCCAAAACAAGAAGCTGAAGCTGTGGGAAGTCACGTAATTTGCCCAGGATTACACAGCCAGTAATTAGAAGAGCCAGGATGAGAACCCTGTTAGCAACTGCTATCCATGTGGCCTCTTAGGTACTCAGAATATGTCTCTCCATTTCTGAGTTCTCTTTCAGTGTTTCAAAGAGCAGTATTTCCAGTAAAGAATAATGTAGCTGTACAGTACAGTAGATACCACTGACCACTGACCTACAGTGGAATGAATACTCTACTAGGACTTAGGGATTCAGTGAAGAAAACAGAGTCCTTTCAAAGTATTTCAGTCCAGAGGAGAGAGGAAGAAATTGTTTATTAGCTCTGCTATCTTTCTGGTTTGGCTGAGATGTGGGATTTAGCAGTCCCCAGTTAGCTTTGGTGTGACATACATCTTTGCTTGAATCCTAGCTTCACCTCTTATCAGCTGTGTGAATGTCACTCTGAGCCAGTTCTATACTTTCTGTGAGCCTCAGTTTCTCCATATGTAAAATGGTGACAATAGGTCTGCCTTGCAGGGCTGCTGAGGGGATTAAAATAGTATATGCAAAGTACCTACCATAGGTTTAAGACGGGTGTTCCAAAATGGTAGTTATTAAAAAGAAAAGTCTGATTCTGCACTGGAACCACTTTTTAAGAGTCACTTCTGAAGAGTGACTTTATAGCTAAAACTTAAAGCCCCGATGATATTAATTAGTCTTAAACAAACACTGTCTCTTTACCTCACTTTGATATAGTAAGTTTTAGGGTATATAATTCAACTGCTGCCAATTGGGCAAGGGTGGTATTTGTTTTCCTGTTCTGTGTAGCTATGTACATTTTCAGTATCCTGAGTTATCAAGCTTTGACTATAGGGAAGTGCATTTTGTCTCTTGAAAGATGCAATGAGTCCCTTTAATTATTTCACATTGATTCAATAAAATGGTTCACTGTAGTTTCGGCTCAGATCAGATATTTGCAGTATGATTTGTGTAACTGTTGAGCGCAAAATAACTGAATTCCAAGCTCATGTTCATTTGAATAAGCTGTGGCAATGAAACAATGAAATGATTATATATGAATAATCATGTACATATGATACATATACATCTGTATGTATGCCCACTCTAAATATCTAAAAAGAGGAGAATCCAGTAAGATATAAATATCTTAATGTCTATATATAGACAAATAATAAAACTCTCAAATGATAAAACTTTCATTATAACTGCAAAGAGTTTCTTCCATTCATTCAAGCTGATAGTTTGTTTTCACTTTTTATACATGCCAGTGATTTGCTTTCTA